CTTACCCAACAAGCATATCATTTGGTTTGTTTGGTAAGAGGAAAATGAAAAAGTGGGAAGGAGAGAAAAATTTTAATAAACTCGATTTAAAAAATTGAAGAAGCGGGATTAAAAATTTTAAATTAATTTTTATTACTCTTTTATCATGTCTCCTTATCAAAATTTTAAAATCCCAATTCTCTAATTTCTTAAATCAATTTCATTAAAAATTTTCGTCACCTCCCTCCATTTCCCTCCTATCAAACATGAGGTTAGAAAAGAATCATCATAAAATAAAGTTTTAATTGTTTAATTTACTGTAAGCTACCCTAAACAAAGCTCCCAAATATCTAACCCTAATGCCCAAGAATTGAAGAAGAATAGAAGCATAGGTCCAAATCACATGGTCGGTTCCGTGAATTTGAATCACTTTTTTTTGTGGGTTATGTACAATTCTTGCCAAATTAATTCAAAAATTTATAGATGCTAACTGCAACTTCTTTTTTTAAGTTTATGTAATTCTTGGACTCTCAACCTTTGATGATGACCTTTTTGAAGGGCGCGCATGTTTTCTAGTTTGTCATTGTACAAAGTGGTCCTTACGAAAGGGAAAGCCACAGGCATTACCTGCAAAGTTTGAAAATTTGTGAAATCAAACATGTGTATCTAAAAGTTCCACTTGTGGTCATCGTTATTTTTGGTCAATGGTAATATTCTCCGATTCTTATTATAATTTTAAATAATTAATTTGCCTATAACAAAAAAAATCAGTTAAAATTATTTTAAATGTAATAAATAAGTAAGAAATATACTTTTGTTGTTAAATATGTTCTTATAATAAATGAGAAAAATGATGAAAGAGAATGTATGAAAAAATATCATGAAAAAGAGTGGCAGAGGAGAGAGAATAAATTAAATAAGGATAAAATTAGAAAATAAATATATTAAATGGTTAGACAAACCTAAAATGAAACTTATAAAATGGACCACATCCATCTCCAAATTTAAAGCTTATAAATAAGACAAGAGGGAGTAGTTATAATATTTGGTTTATTTCACGTGTGTGTAACATTACTCCACATTCCTTATAGTCTGTTTAGTATGAGGGAAATGGAGGAGAGGAAAGGGGATGAAAAATTTTAATGAGCTCGATTTAAAAAATTTGAAAAATGGGGTTAAAAGCTTTTAACTAATTTTGCTTATTTTTTTATCTTACACATTCTGTTTATCAAAATTTTATAATCCCACTTTTTTAATCTTTTAAATAGAGCTCATTAAATTTTTCTTTCCTCTCTTCCCTTCCAATTCTCTCATAAGCACAGGGTTAACATACGACTCCAATCCCCATTATTATTATAAGGCATTTCTAGTTATTTTACCAAGAGCCCCAAGAGAGGTGAATTAGTCCTTAATCAAGTTTGTTTGAAAACGAAGAAAATGTTAAATTCACCTTTATTCAAAATCATGAATTATGCTTTGAGAAGTGAAAAAAAAAAATTGTATATCAAAGTGTGAATGGGAATAATTTTAAAAATATATAATTAATACTCCACTTAATAACTTATAATAAGGATTACTCATTCCTTCTAGAAAGCACGGTATATATAATAAAAACCCAAACTAATGGTACCTGTTATCAAATTCATGGAGTTCAAAAAAAGCTGTTTATTATGTCTAAATTTATCTTTCTTCTCTTTCCAAAGTCTACCCCAATGAAATATAGTAATGACTTGTGTTTTCTAAATAAATTGATTAGAGTTATGTCTATAAAGATTTAACAATACTTCCTGTGATTCCGAGATAACTAGTCTAATAAGGATAAGAGCCGTAGGAAATTGGGCATTACTGCCTCATCAGGTCCTTCAAATACGTTTTTAAGCAAATTAAGAAAACTTGTTAGATTACTTTATTTGTTCAAAAAACATCCCAGTATTCCAATTATATCCATATTAATTAAAGAGAGACACCTCATAATGCCTTTGCTCAGGTTCCAAGAAATCTATTAGTTAAAATTATGGAACTTTCAGGACACAAAAAAATTAAAATTATAGAATTAAACTGGAACACTATTATTTGATCCCCCTCTAGTGTTTTTTTTATAAGAGTTTGATAATTAAATTATAATATTTAAGAAAGCAGCTAGAATTAGTTAAAAGTAATAAATGTATAAGAAATAAACTTTTTTCCAAGCATACTCTTATAAAGAGAGAAAATTTGAAAGAGAATGTAGTATACCAAATTGCCAACCTTTTAATTAGTGCAACATGTAAAATTAGTTAGGGACAAAAATGATAAAAATGCATTAAATATTTAGACAATCACAAGTGAGATCTTATAAAAAGGACCAAGACAATTCAAATTTCACGCTCTTATAAAAAGTAACGGAAGGGGTATTATCTAACTAGATACTTTTGTAACTTGAACAAGCTTTTACTTTTGAAAAAGCACCTCACATAATAGACTAGAGGGAGTATAAAAAGGGACATAGAAGAAACCATCATGTGCTAAAATGTCTGATGGATCATATAAAAGCCTTGATAAATCAAATCCTTTATATAGTGTACACTCCGAATCAATATAGCAGATTCAATAGGTCCATGTATAATCATTTAACTTTTAACACAGACATAGATAGTACTGATGCAAAAACCGTAGCCAACAAGTGTTTCTGTATGTGTTTTTCACCCTCCAAGATGTTAATTAGTTGAGCTGCGGCGGCTTCAGGGAATCAATATTCCCCACCCAAGTAGCGACAACAAATAATGTTTCATTCTGCAGAAACATATAAACAAAGCAGAAACCAGCCGAGATTTCAAGTACTGATTCTCCTGCGGTTTCCCATCATCATCATCAGTGATTGCCTAACTCTCTGATCTTTTACATAGAGTGGTTTCTTTCACATTCCGATGTAACAAATGGCCTACTAACAACAGCGGCTAGGTCAAGCGGAAGTGACTCCATTCCTTAGAAGTAAAGTTATTAGAAACCATCACTTCAAAAATGTTATTCTTAATTATTAGACCCAATAATCTTGAAATTTGATTCGATAGTTAATTAGGATAAATTAAAAGTGATGACTTTTCTCTAGTTACTCAAGCTTAGGGATTTAAATCATGTATACGAACAAAAAAAAAGAAAAATCACATAAGAAGATTATTCCTAATTAAACTCAACAATATTTGAATTTAACTGGATAGTTAGGATAAAAGTGGCTTTTCCAAAATTACTCGAGGTTAAGGGTTTAAATATTATGAATCAAAAACAAAAATAAAATCACATCAGAAGAGTTATTTCTCATTAGACTCAACAATATTCGAATTCGATGAATTTGGCTCTGATTATATCAAGTAATTGTGTGATGGACTCATGCATGGGACAAAGTAAAAGGGAAAAGTTGTGGAGAGTAGTTCAAGTATTTACCTGGGGACAAATTTATGAACCACCATATAAAAATATTGGGGGGGGGGGTGTGTAGAGTCCAGTTGATTGATTAGTCTGAATCATGAGGCACAGGATGGATTTGCTGGAAAGGACACCAAAGGTGGCACCTAGTTATGGAAATCTTTTCAGATTTTGTCTCCGATGTGAAAGGAACTAGAGAGAAACCCCCACCATAACAAAACATAAGGTCGGGTTTCACACTTGGGCTAACAAAAACCAAATAATAAGACTTGAAAGGAAAATATATGGTCCCTATATTTTTGAACATTTTGCGTTAAATTTGCATTTTAGTTCCGTGAATTTGTTTTTCTTTTTCAATTTAGTACTAATTTGTCTCTATTGTTACGATTTTCATAAATCTGTTTTAGTTCAATCTCTCCGTTTTATCATTATTGTGATCGGTTTAGTTCAATATGGATCACTTCAATCAATTTAAATTTAAATAGTATTCCTAGTCTCATGTTATATTTAAAGCGCATATATATTATGAATCTCACATTGAAGAGCTTCATAAGTAAAGTCTGGGTTTATAAGTTTAAATTACTCTTCACCTAATATAATAGTGTTTTGATATTGGAATTTTTTTCCTTTGAATTTATGTTCATTAACACAACCAATATTTCTGTCTACCAAAATTTGCATGGGTATGATATCAAATGGGATACTAGTTTTTTTTTCTTCATATTAGATAATATAATAATTTTAACATAATCCCTCTGTTTATTTTCATAAGGGACGAATAAGAGTTTAATTCTTTTTTCTCATTATAAGAAACAGTTTTCTTTTAGTGGAAACATTTATTATAATTTTTCACTCATACCCTTATTAAAGTGGAGAGAAACATTCTCTCATTAATAAATGAATTGCTTTAGTCAATTTCCTTAAGGGGTATATATCATGGGAACAAGCATTTTCTGTCCACTTACATATTTAAAACTTCTAGCTATATTAACTTATTTTTTATTTTTTTATATTGAGAAAATAGGTATTTATTTTTGGAGAGAATTACAATGAAATCGCCAAAAAAAAATTACAAAATAAGTCTAAGAGGTTGGCATTTTTTATTTTGGAATTTGTCATTACACGCTGTTTAGGTTGTTATTGAGACTTTTTAATAATTATTTTCTTTGTTTGAGACCTCATTATAATTCTCTCTTTTTTTAAAACAAAAAAAAAAAGGAAAGGGAGGGAGCACATTAAATATATAGTCTATGTATAGTAGTTTTAAATATTTCTTATAACAAGATTTAGCAGTTAAAAGGGCTTTTTTGATTGGATACCAAACTGAAGGGACCGAATTGAAATACTAACTTGGCCCCCCATAACTTCCAAATTTTCAACAAACTACATACTACCTCGGTTCTAATTATAAGACCTCATTTATAGTTTACAAATATGTATAAACAAAGTCTTATAATTAAGACCAGAAGTAGTATATTTCACGTATATATGCGCCATCTCTATAAACGAAACTGAACTTACATACAGTTCAGACCCTTCAGAGTGTGGCAGACCAAACTGAGAAAAAATAAAGAAATATAACAGATGAAAATATATATTACTAACTCATCGACATTTTTTCTTATCATAATCATCATATGTATATATATTCTCTTTATTGCTTCATTATTCTGAGACATATATATAAAACTTTAAACCTCTCTTGGGTCTACAAAAAGAGCTCTAGTTGGGGGTGTTTTGGTTAAGTCATGAAACGTAGTAGTAGTACAATTGGAGGCATCATTATTTTTGAGTTCCTTTATGCACCACAAATCTTCAGGAGTTGACAGCAATTTCCAATGTGGAATGTGATGTTTCAGTTCATCTCTGCTTCCTCCAACTTCAGTCACAACAATCTTACAACTCTCATCATCTTCCTTATTACACTTGGCAGCCATGTTGTGCACAAACTCACACAACCCTCTCACAAGCTTCCCTGAGAATGGCCCTTCATGGTAAACCCCATACAGAAAATAAAACCCAAATGGGCTGAAGAAATCAGGCAAAGTTGGGATCTTAAGACATGGGAAAATCTTATCAAACAAACCCCAACTCTTTGTGTATAATAAGCAATAGAAAGGTGCTTTCCCTAGCCTCAGCTTGAAGATTTCTCCACTATTCCACACACTAAGCATGGCCCAACTATTGGGGACTGTTTGGCTATCAGACCCAAAGTAATCTCCTTTGAAGTGAGCCACCCATGTCCCTAAACTTAGCTTGTTTCTGAGTATTTTGTCTATGTCACTGGGGAAGAACTCAGTAGTGGACCCCATGAATCTTCTGTACAAAGATTCAGCTTGGTCGATCTTGATCATTGAAATCTCAATGTTGGATGAGATTCTGAGGTATCTATGGTTTACTGGGTTTACCAGAATAGAGGGTGTTCTGAACTTTGTGTAGCCAAACTTATTCATGAAAAGACCAACAGAAGCCTGATTCTCTTTCTCTGTGGCCATGTACGCGTAATCCACATCTTTTGATTTGAACCATTCTTCTAGTTTTAAAACAAGGCTTGATCCTATGCCTTTTCTTCGAACATGTGGCACAACCCTCAGACCTAGGACATAGCCTACCTTAGCCAATTCCTTGTATCGTACTGTAACAAGTTTTATAGATCCTTGAATGACACCAACCAGTTCCTTGTCCAGTTCTGCCACCTAATCATCAACATCCCAAGTGATATACGTGTGTTTCGAATCAATTAATGATAATCAAATATATATGTATGTATATAGAGAGAGAGAGATGAAGAAAGACATATATGTAGATATACACATACCAGCATCTTGTACATGGGACTGTTTCGGATTCTACAAATGGGATCGCCCATAGTGTCTGTGAAGAGAAAAACGCTTTCTGCTGGCCCTACCTCGCACCTTCTCTCGAGATTTTCCACTTGAGCTCTATCAGATTGTTCTTCATAGCTCCTGATCTTGAACTCCATCATCAGGAAATTTAATTATTACGATACCCTGTGTATGTGTGGAAGATATGTGAACTAAAAGGTGTTTCTGATAAGAAAAACTGGAAGCCAAAGGTAATATACGAAATCCATAGAGCAAACGAGAAGTGTTAACATTATATGTATATATCAGAAGGTAGAAGCAGAAGAAGAGAAGAAGGGTTTGGCTCACAATTCATTATCGTAACCATTTTATATGGAGTGGGATCGATGGAAAGAGGAGGTTTTTGGGGGGGGGGGGGAGAGAGAGAGAGATTTGAACTTGCGAATGTTCTTTATGAGAATCATGAATAACCTAGGCTTCAATAATAATAATAGCAGGCAAAAGTTAGGTTAATAATAGAATGTGTTTTTTGTCTCTAGCTTTTTTGTGCCCACTCTTTAGCTTTGATTAAGCCATCATATATATCCACGCTAGGTTAAGGGCTCACGCACGCGCTAGTCTTGTGTGTTTTGTTGTCCCACCATGATTTGTTCACCCAATTAACAATCAGATTATATGCACAATATCAAGCCTACATTAAATAGGAAAATAAAAAAAAAAGAGTTGAGCACCAACTGAGAAAAAGCCCTTTTTTAGCATGATTATTTTTTATTTTTAGGTTAATATAATTTTTGGTCCCTTAAACTTATCCTTATTTTGGTTTTCGTCTCTTAAGTTTCTTTTTATTTGAATATTAGTTCTTATAATTTAATAAAAGCTGAACCATTTTACCCCTTGAGAATAAAAGCGTATGGCTAAAAATTTAAGGGACTAAAAGCTAAATTCGTGCAAACTTGATAAACTAAAGATTATATTGACCTTTTCTTTTCTTTTTTTTAAATTTACAATACTCAAACCCAAAACTTGCAAACCAATCACATGGTAGGTTCGATCAAGAGTTTTGGATGAATCAACCGACTTGGATTTTATATTTTTTTGTCCTCAATCTAAAATGATGCTATTTTAAAATCATAATTTAGTTTCTACCCAAACACTTCATGAGCTACAAAAGGAGAGAATAAGAATCCTTTAATTAAATTATACGGCTTTGGTCTTTATTGTTTATCACTTATAAAAGTTTCTCATGTATCAAGAAGAACATTAAATAGACGAAATTTTTTATTTTTGTCCTTATTAAAGAGATATGGATATCGGAAAAACACTATTTGAGTTAATTTTTTTAATTATAATCAATAGGTTCAAAATCGGAAATAAAACATTAAAAATCATACAAGTAACTGACAAAAAGGACCGAAATCCTCTCTACAAATAACAAACAATAAGGACTAGAGTGGTACTGTTTTACTTATGATTTGGTTAACCTCCGTTCAACCATAGTTAAATTATTGACTCTTAAAACATTGCCTCAACCAATTCAATAATTACTCCGGTTTTCAGAACCTTAATAATTAATAACCCGCCTAGTGACTATAGGTTAATTCAATTTTGTTTTCATCCATCTTTGATCCAAGTACATAAGGAATACAGAATGCCCCACACTAAATTTGCAAATCCTTCTTCAATCCGTACAACAAATAGGGTCGGCAGGTTTCATGAAGAAATATCTTCCAAGAATCTAATCATGGATTAAGGATAAAGAATAAACTAAAGATGGTTTGATCAATTAATCAATCTACCAACTATCATGTATGGTGGCTGCTGATTCAAAGATTTATTAACTAATTAATTATGGTATAACAGGGTACGTGTACCCATATGTGCCTTACGATGTGTGTTAGCGAGAAGAACATGATTTGAGTGAATTATATGTATTATATATACATGAGATTAATTTAATTAATTATTATATTAAGGGTTGTTAGTAATTTTGATTAGGTTTCAAATAGCTTATTATTGGGAATGTCCCTATCTATTTATAAATATAAATAATATATATATATATATATATAAAACACAAACACAAAACGAGGCTTTTCCCCATATTTTAATTTGCCGTATTTTTTTAATGACGATATGTTTTGGTGTGGCCCCTTTTCCTCTTTAGACATTAGATTCGAAAGTGAAAGTGAAAACTTCCACTAAAGCCATGCTTAATTATTTAGCTTTCTGCCAATTATAAGTTTTATTGCTAATGACAAGGTTGTCCTATAATAATTTTAAATAAATTATTATAATTAGGTTATGGCTGCAACCACAGACTAGAGTCACAACCTTATTGATCATAAAGTTAACTTTTTGGAAAATTGTTGTTCTGTGTTTTGGGGATGTGGCCAATTATCAAAACAATAATAATTATCAGGTCGCTAAAAAGTGGGAAAACGTTATATTCAGAAAGCTGTGGATCCAGATATTTTAAAATTACTTATCAACAACTCGAGATGATTCATAATTCTCTGTTCTTTTTTTTTTTTTCAAGAATATTAGTTCTTAATGTTTGAGATTAATGGAATTGCCAAATGGCAGCTTGAGAGCATCGATCAATTGCTAAAGAAAGATTGGGTATTTTGTTTTTTGATTTCAACGATTCATCAATTAATTTTGTGTTAATTATGGTAGATCAAGCATTAAATCAAACGTACCAAAATAGTTTTCGACCAAATAAAGATTTTTTTTTTTGTAGTCACTCAAATGCGTAAATAATTACCTAACATACACCAACTTATTGGCTTCCCACCACTGAATTGAGGATAAGAGAGTACGTACAACAAAGTTGTTTTTTCAAAAATAAAAATAAAAATTCATGATAAAGGCCATCATTTTGCTAACTATAGTTATTACATCTAGACCGATGAAAATTAAAAAAAATACCATTATAAAACATAAAAGGTACAGAAACTATGTTATTTATTTACATGCTGTGAACAATTAATTAATATCATTATAAAATATCATTTTGTATACCTTTTATCTCATGTATACTTAAATATAATTTCACGTATATATCTTGTTGTCTAATCCCACTCTACACTGTACAGAAACAGTTTTATCTTCTAATGAATTTTGTCAAATTAAATTCCATATGATAGTTTTGAAAACTTCTCTTTCTAAGCTTAAATTTAAATCTTAGCAAATTTGCATGGAAGAGTTGAGATTCCTTAATGCGTGGCAGCTTTATGAGTTAATAATACCTCTTTATATATAGATTGTGAATTAATTTGGATACCCTTAGTCAATTGTTGAAGATGAGAGACAAAGTATGAGAAAAATTATAATAAAACAGTTCCAAATAAAGGAAATAATTGTTTTACCTGTTCCATTTACATATTAAACTTCTATAGATTTATATGTAGTTATTAATACTTGCTGGTAATTATTATTTTCATTTGGAAGCTCAATATAATTCTCCCCAAAAATATATGCATAATTGATTGTCCTAAAGATCAGTTTTCTCAGTCCATTAATTGTCAAATTATTTTATGTACTATTATTTTTTTTAGGCTAAATTATTTATTCAGTCCTTTGACATTATAAAAATTTTAATTTGGTCTCTTAACTTTAAAAAGTATATTTTTAATCATTTAACCCTAAAATCATTAGTTTTAAATGATGATTTTTTGTGATAATCATGACTATTTTGACAATTAAATTTAATATGCTGGTATTTGGGAATGTTCTTTCAACATTCAGGATATTAATATCATCATTCTATGTTAATGGTTTTAGAGTTCAAGGGCTAAAATATATTTTTTAAAATTGAGAGACTAAATTGAAACCTTAAATAAAGGACTAAAAGTATATTTTAACAGTTGTTTTTTAAATTTATTTTTTGCTGCACCGAAGAGAACTAAAAACATGAGTAGAAAGTGCAAAATGAACGAAACCATTATGAAAAAATCTCAAAAAAATGATTGTTAAATTTTAAAATTCTAAATCAGTATTGGTTACTACACCCAAAAAGAAAATAACTACATTTGAAAAACAAATGACAACACATTTTTGTAATAATTCTTGATTTGAAATTTTGAAATTCAACAATATTTTTTGGGATTTTCTCAACTATTATTTCAAGTATAATTAAAACAATATATCTTTCCATCACAATAAACTAGACCTTAATTAATGTATATCTCATGATTTGACATCATATAAATATATATATATATATATATATAATTCTAATCATTAGCCTTCACAGTCTGATTTTTAGTGGGAACCTTAAACGTAAGATCCGATCCTATCTTTTTAACAGTTTCTGTAATTATCTTTCCCAAGGACTGCGTTTGGTGTTTCTTCACATCTGAAAGTGGATGAAACAGAAGATTTAGCAGGTGGTCATGATCAGAACATCCAAATCTTCTTATATATATAGCTAGAGACTTTATGAACAGTTGATACATATGACGAACATATATATATATATATATATCATTTCTCAGTCAATGAAATAAAAAAAAATGCTCCATCCAGATTCTAAATATAAGAATTATATAAGTTTACAAAAAAATTAAAAAAAATTAGTTAAGTTAGTAATTTGTGTTGGCTTTCCAAATTATTACTTTCAATAATTTGCACTGGAAACTTCCCATTGATGGAAATGTTCTTAATATATGCAATCAAGGAAGAATTATAAAAATTAAGAGACAAAATGAATTTAAGTCTTATACTACCTCTGGTTTGATCCATAATATAAGAGTTGGTTGGGAGTTAGATTTGATTTTAAATATAAGACCTTAATTTACTTTGTCTCCTATTTTTCTCAAAATATCCCTATTAATTGTAAGAGGTTCCCACCACCAAAGGGTATTTCAATGCACATGCATGATCAAAGATGACAGTTCAAAAAGGCCAACACACATTTGTGACAAATAACTAACTTAATTATTTTTTTTAATATCCTCAAATTAGTTATCTAACTTTTATATTAAAAACCAGAGGTAGTATTTAGGATCAAAACAAACTCTTTACCACTAGGTTTTGGAGGAAGTAAAAGAGAAGAGTTATGTTAGGCACAAAGAAGAATGGATATTATCTCAGCTGGGAACTGTCTGGACAATTCTGGAGAGAAGTTTGGCTGTTAATGGGACCTCTCCGATTGAAGAAGAGATGTGAGAGCCATGAAAGTTCGAGACATACATAAGCACTATTATTTTGTTTTCCTTTATTTGTCGTAAGTTGGTTCTTGCAATTATATCCTTTAACCTCATAGTGTCCACTATCTATGCTCG